GTGAGTAAACAGTTTTTTATTTTTATTTTTATTTCGTCAAGATCACAGAAAATGGGTAGCCAACATTTTTGTCTGATTTGTAGCTTGAGATGAAGTGTCCTTCACTGCTCAGTTGGGGAATGACAATTAACATTCAGAAATATTATTCATTTGACTGTATTTGATTGATTGACTATCAGAGAGAACCAAAGATGGAACTGAAGACAATAGTGTCATTATTCAGCTCAATTCTATTTCAACTGTAAAACAGCTCTACAGAAGTCATTTAATAATTGCTGAAATTTTACAAGTTATGTGCCTGAAGTAGAGGTCAGCACAGGCTTTAAACTTAAGCCCAAACCCGGCCCGTACCCGAAATCATTTAACCTGACCCGAACATTACGGTTATATTTTAAGCCTGAGCCCGACCCAAACCCGAGGTCCGTTTCTCAGTAAATTGCTTTTTTTTTGTGCAATATGCTGTATTTTATGATTGCTTGCCACGATAATTAAAAAAATAAGCTACATGTACAAACACCGTTTCACCAAGGCACATCGGCCCCTCATCAGTCAGCACACAAGAAAAAAAAGAGAAAAAGCACAGAACTTACTAATTACGAAACTTTGATGAGGTTGAAAAGGTGAAACAGTCATAAATTCCCCTGGAACCCAAACATTAAACTTCATAAAGTTTGCGCAGTTGCACAACTATTTACACAAATATAGCCTATCCTTCTCAGTCCGAGTTATGAATGAAGGGAACAGCATCGCGAGCTGATGTTTCAGCGCATCCTCTGACTGCGTGTTGTGACTGAAATTGTGTGTGCGGGAGCACATGCACAAAAAAGTTTTGTAAAATGATATATGATAAAATAAAAATGATTCATATATCATTTTACAAAATTGTTTTGTTTGTTATTTCGATCACATCACAATCAGAGGAGGACGGCTGAAACTGCACACATCTACTTTCTCTCTCGCGTGATCGTATAATTACGATCACAACACAGCAAGCAGCCGAGCACACGGCACGCAAACTAATATATATATATATAGCCTAAATAGTTTTTCTAAGACCACGGCCTGCATCCCTCTAGTTAATTTAGCATCGACTGCAAAATAATCATTATCACAAAAACATCTTGAGTCTTTGGCTACTCACTGGTAGCCTGGTTCTACCAGACTCTCGTACATTTCATTTGTACAGAGAGTCTGGCCTCGCTCCATTGAGAAACGTTTACTTCCTTGTAGGCGGGTTCTCTGTTAAAGTTCAAAACTATTGGATCTGCCCAGCGTCACTCAGGATCTGCCATAGCCAATCGCTAACGTGTGGTCGTGACGTATGTCATGCGCCGTAACCGGCTGGAAACAACAAGTCCGAATTCCATATTCATAAATCTAAATATCTAAATGCTAAACCTCTCTTTCTTATATTTGTGAAAGAATTTTAAAAATACCTCTTTTCAATTAAGTTGTCTGAGAACAAAAAAAGCCTTAAAAACATTAACTGTTTGTAATTATTTTCCTTTTTCAGTGTCATGTAATTCTCTTAACTTGTTCATGTTTATTTTATATTATCCTCCTACTGTTTTATTTTTGTTTTGTTTTTATTATTATTTTTTGTTTGTTTTTGTATTATGTTTTCTGTTATTACTTGTGTATTGTTTTAAGCAATAAAAAAACAAGTCCGAATGATCAGAGGATTATGTTTAGAATAAGATGTCTGTCAACGAGAGCTGCATGTTTTGTTCATCGAATTTAAGAGTTCAAGGAACAATTCTAAATTCTAAATGTTTATTTGACACTAAGGACAGTGATGTATTCAGTCAACTGTCGAAGCTGGGTGTAATCATTAACAATACGCCGCTGCGGTCGTTTCGGATCTGCCGCAAATGCTGTACAGTGATCATCGTGCACGCCGAGCTGCCCAGCACCAACTCCTAACCTTTCTGCCTCCCTCACTTGGTCCTCCATTAGTGCAACAAGAGGAGACGACAACAACTATCGGCTTTGCATCCTATCGTTCGCCTTAGCTAACTCATTCACCACTAGCGGAGTGAGCTGGAAAATTAAACTTTTCCCGAACCCCTTGGGGAGGAGGGCCACAACATCATGGCCACCAACAACACTTAGCAAACATTGATCTTGCTCCGGCTTTAACTTCTGGATATTCGGCAGTTTTGCAACAACGGACCGAATAGATTTTCTCACGTCTTTCTCCGCTGCCATTACTGAACTCCAACTCAAACTGACGCGCTACATCAACGTCATCGTTCTCAGCCACTCCCTCTGTTCGCTGATTGGACCGGTAAAAAAATTATTTCTGGAAACCAAAGTCTACAGCACAATCCCAGACGTAGTACTGAAGGAAAATAAAATTGAGCGGAAGTGCGTAGGAGGGCGGAGCCAGGCTAACTCACTGGGGCTTTAACACATTAGTCATGTTCTTCTGTAAAGTGTAGTAATTGTCCAAAAAACAAACAAAAAAAACACACACTTCAATTAAATGACTCTTTGGGGACTTGATAGACACACACACACTCCGATTAAATGACTCTTTGGGGACTTGAGAGACACACACACTCCGATTAAATGACTCTTTGGGGACTTGAGAGACACACACACTCCGATTAAATGACTCTTTGGGGACTTGAGAGACACACACACTCCGATTAAATGATTCTTTGGGGACTTGAGAGACACACACACACTCCGATTAAATGACTCTTTGGGGACTTGAGAGACACACACACTCCGATTAAATGACTCTTTGGGGACTTGAGAGACACACACACACTCCGATTAAATGACTCTTTGGGGACTTGAGAGACACACACACTCCGATTAAATGACTCTTTGGGGACTTGAGAGACACACACACACACTCCGATTAAATGACTCTTTGGGGACTTGAGAGACACACACACACACTCTGATTAAATGATTCTTTGGGGACTTGAGAGACACACACACTCCGATTAAATGACTCTTTGGGGACTTGAGAGACACACACACACACACACACACTCCGATTAAATGACTCTTTGGGGACTTGAGAGACACACACACTCCGATTAAATGACTCTTTGGGGACTTGAGAGACACACACACTCCGATTAAATGACTCTTTCGGGACTTGAGAGACACACACTCCAAGTAAATGACTCTTTGGGGACTTGAGAGACACACACACTCCGATTAAATGACTCTTTGGGGACTCGAGTGACACACACTCCAATTAAATGACTCTTTAATATTAACAGTCTTGAACACATTGTGTTGAAAGTACACATTGCAGTTAATGACAGAAATTCAAAAACATAAAAAAAAAAAAAAAGAACAATGAAAAATCAATTAACTTGGAGGTGGGAATGATTCTCAGTGCACAACCATCCTCGATATTTCCTCCATCCACCCATCAAAATCTCTACCTCCTCCTTTACCTTCACTCCTCCCTCTTTACCTTCACTCCTCCCTCTTTTCAACCTCTTTACCTTCACTCCTCCCTCTTTTCCATCCTCTTTACCTTCACTCCTCCCCATTTTCTCCCTCTTTACCTTCACTCCTCCCTCTTTTCCATCCTCTTTACCTTCACTCCTCCCCCATTTTCTCCCTCTTTACCTTCACTCCTCCCTCTTTTCCATCCTCTTTACCTTCACTCCTCCCTCTTTTCTCCCTCTTTACCTTCACTCCTCCCTCTTTTCCATCCTCTTTACCTTCACTCCTCCCCCATTTTCTCCCTCTTTACCTTCACTCCTCCCTCTTTTCCATCCTCTTTACCTTCACTCCTCCCTCTTTTCTCCCTCTTTACCTTCACTCCTCCCTCTTTTCCATCCT